CCAGTCAGCCAGGCTGGCTGGGAAATTCTGGGAGTTGAAGTCCACCCTGCTTAAAGTAGCCAAGGTTGAGAAACACTGACATAGGCAGTTTTTAACTAACTCCAAAGCTGGGCACTGGGGCAGAGTCAGTTTCAGGAACAGATGCTCGTCTCCGAAGCAGCTGGCACTTTTGTGGGAAGGCGTTTCCTTAGACGGGGCGGGCAGGCGCGAGAAGTCGACTGGAGGTTGTTTTTCATGAATTGGCCCACATCCCAAACTCCTTGAACCCACTCTAGAACTTAATTTCTTCTTCGGCTCCCTCTGCCCTCACGTCCCCAACTTCGGTGGGGCAGTTCTTGCCCCATGTCAGTTCCCCCTTGCTCGGGGGTGGGGGCAAAACAATTTATGGTACTTACGGCACTTACTGGCCAACTGGAACCAAGCAAAGATCCCTGCCGAGATTCATCCGGATCTCACCTACCTCGGAGTGGTCCAAGCAATAGAGCCTTCCCCCCCCCTCCATGTTTTCATAGCTCCTGCTTCTTGGCGGGGCAAAACATTCCTGATTTTTTTTAAAACCACGCGGGAGGCCCCTGTGTTTTGCAAAGTAAGCACAGAATGTGCACAGCCCTTCCCCTTCTCTTTCCGCGCTCCGTGTGTGTGTGTGTGTGTGTGTGTGTTTCAAAACTCTGCCTGCTGGTTCCTTTGCTGCTTCTGCCCTTCACTTGCCCGGAGTGAACTAAGCTTTTTTGCTTCCTAAGTTCCTGGATCTGGATCCTTTTTTTGAGTGACCTCTTCCTGCCTTCCTGCTCAGAGGGTCTGGATATGGAGTTGCGGGCGGGGGGGCATGTCTAAAGCGAGCCCTGCCAGCTGATTTCTTGCTTTTTCAGCTGATTTCTTGCGTTTTCTTTCTCCCTTCCAGAGAATGATGCTTTGGGAGCTGCGAGCCCTGCACTCCAAATACTTGGCGGGTATATCGCTCCACGCTAGCCCTTGGGAACCCAAAGGTAGCCTTCACTCCCCCAAAATCTGGGTCGCTCTGCGGCTGCGTCAGTTCAAACCCTGAAAGCTTAGAAGGGGCTTGCTTGTTCCTCCTTTGCAAACATTCTTGCGATCGCTGGAGTTTGCATGGTTTTTCAAAGGTGACCGGGTCTCCCCTTCCCCACATGGCCTTTGGAGATGGATCGCGTTGCCCTGGGTGGGCAATTCTGGGGATTCGCTCTTAATTTTCGGGGGCAAGAGTGAGCCCCGCAGACAGCCAGTTGCTGACCCCCACGCAGGCACCCTCAAAGCAAAAGGCGGCTCACATCGCCAGGAAGTGGGGCTGACGGCCATTCCATTGTCCCTTTGCCCCAGTTGGTTGCGATCCAGGGTGAGCGGTGTTTGCCCTCGATTGAGATCAGCTTGCACAAGGAAAGTCTAATCAGGGAAGGTGCACCCTGGACCTCCCAAGTTTTATAGACTTCCTGACAGCTGTGACAAAGGAACCTGCAGAGGAGGTCACTGCCCTGGGATCCCGTTCTTCCCACCACAACCATCAAACTGCAGACATGTTTCAAAAACAGGAAGGCTCTTTGCCCTCTTCAGAAACTCGCTGCCTTGTAAATAGTAAGGTCTGCTGTTTTCCTTCCTTCCTTCCTCCCTCCCTCCTCTTCCTTCCTCTTTCTTTTCCTCCCTCCCTCCTCCTTTCTTTTCCTTCCTTTTCTCCCTCTCTCTCCCTCTCCCTCCCTCCCTCCCTTCCTTAGCATTGATTTGAAAATGCTACCTAATTTGTCAGACCCAAATGATTCTGGATCATAATTAGGACTCTGATGTTGTACATTTTCTGTTAATAAAGCGGATCGTCCTGTGACTTGATGAGTTTGATTTCAGTTTGTTTTCTGAATGATTTTTCCATCAAAAAGGTGTTTCACTAGTTTTTGCAAGGTGACATTTAAGCAAGGTTAATCCGAGCAAAGCCAGTTTCTGCACATGCAGGTGAAAGAGAGAACCTGTGCCAATCAGTGATGTCCGTAGTACAAGAAAGTTAAATTTGGCAGGATTTATGCGTGCAGGAGAGGTGGCAGGATTTGGTGGTTAACTGTTAATGGTCATCTCTGTAACTTTACTTGCTAAGGGCCCAATTCAGCCTTCACACATTCCCAGGAAGAACCGGGAAAGCTGGTCGCCCAGACTGGTCAGCACCCTGGCAGATCCTCCGGGTGACTCGACGCACAGCAGCATTTTATGTTCTTTGTTGCATGTAGATGTGGCTGTTTTCATAGGACGGGGAATTTTTTCCAGAGAGCCTCCCAGTCATCTACTTGAGCAAGGCCTGAAGGCCTGAATGTTGCTTGGTGCCTCCATCGCTGGCAGTCCTCCATGACTCACCAGTCTAAGGACTTGAGTACAAATAAGCACGTGAAGGAAGCAAGAGCTGAAAACAGACCTGGTTCGCACCTGCTAAGCCTTACTTTGCCCTGCAACCAGGTTTTGCTGAATAAGCCACAATAGGCTGGGCCTGGCTAACCTGTTGAGCCACAGAGCATGGATTGCAGGCTAGGATGGTAAGCCACCAACAAACCACCTTTGGGTTTAGCACGGTGGGCAAATCTAGCCCACAGATTCCTGGGAAACATCTTGGAACTATGAGCAAACCATAATCACATGACTTGTCCAAAATGCTTCTAAGCAGAGGTGCCTGCCTGGGAGGTCGAAAAAGTCAAGATGGTGGCCAACAACTGCACAATTATAACCCCACCCCCTTTTTGGTATGTGTCACATACAAAGGGGCGGAGCTTTGGTGGTGTGGGCATAGGCACCATCTTGAATTTTTGCCCTCCCACATGGGCCCCTGCTAAGTTATAAGCCCACCATAGTCGATTGTTTTATTCATCAGGCTGAATCGCAAATGGCATATTATGAATTTGTATGACCTCTAAATTCAGCCATCCTCTGAGCCAGCTTTCTCCCAGACTTGTGTCGCCCAAAGGGATCGGTAGACCATGCCCATCATTCCCACCTCAGAGGTGTCGTGTAGAGGTTGATGGGCACTGGGGGCTTAAGCCACGCAAAGCTTCAAACAGCGCTGGAATAGATGAGGATAAGGGAATATCCGCGCTCCCAATATGGATGGTCTTCATGTTACAGCAAACTCGTTATAAATTCCGGCTTCTGCCAGCCCAAACAGCTGCTGGGGTTCTGGTCTCGAGAAGCACAAACAGGGATGGACATACACTCACACTCACACCCTCATTAACACAGCCACACACACTGGAAGGCCCTGCCCAGAGCAGAATATGGGACATGGTTCATGCTCTGACCAGCTAACCTGGTGAGTAGAGGGAAAGGAATACCTGAAGGGGTGGGGCCAATAAAAGGGGCGGGGCTTGGGTGGCAAGGTTGTGGCCCCCCTTTTGCCTTGTTTGACCCCGTATCAGATACCTCTATAAAAGGCTCAGAGCTCCTCCTGGCTGCGTTCTGCTTCTCCAGGGCAGTTTAATCTAGCAGCTGCATTCCCAGGGTAAGCCCAGTTAATGCTAAGCTTGGTTAGTTAATAACTCCTCCTGGTATTTCGGAAACCCTTGAAGAGCTAGATGTTTCCTTGCATGTGGGGTCTGGAGGCTGGGCGAGCCTGTCCATGAAGCCTTTTTAGTACAACTCTTTGTTCTATGGGTTTCATTATCCAGTGTTTCTCAACCTCAGTCACTTGAAGGTGTGTGGACTTCAACTCCCAGAATTCCCCAGCCGGCTGGGGAATTCTGGGAGTTGAAGTCC